TAAAAATTTTTAAAATAAAATAAACTGGGAGTTAGGAGTAATCCTCAGTGCAGAGATTTGGTGTGAGGGTTAAATGAGTAATCAAAGTAAAGGACCAAATATGTAACAGGCACTTAATCAATGTTAGTTCCCCTCAACACCACCACCACCCCATTCACTCGGCCATCAAGGCTCAGCTCAGCCACCACCTCTTCTGAGATGGCTTCCCTGAGTCCTAAATCTGAGTCAGGCATCCATCCCTCTTCTCTGTGTCTGTGTGTTTATTCCTACCACATGGCGGTATTTGAATCTTTCATCTATTTCTATGCCCAACTGGTATGCACATATCCCATTAGTAAGCAAATGTGGTTATAAGATTCAAATAAAAATCGTATTTTAAAGGGCATCTGGGTGGCTCAGTCGGTCAAGCATCTGACTCTTGATTTCAGCTGAGGTCATGATCTCATGGTCTGGGAGATTGAACCCCGCATCGGGCTCCGCACTGACAGCACAGAGCCTGCTTGGGTTTCTCAGTCTCTCTTTCCCTCTCTCTCTGCCCCTCACCACCCCCCCCCCCAAATAAACTTAAAAAACAACAGTATTTTCTAGAGGTGCCTGGGTGGCTCAGTTGGTTAAGCATCTTTGCTCAGTGACATCGGCTCAGGTCATGATCTCACAGTGCGTAAGTTCGAGCCCAGCGTTGGGCTCTGTGCTGACAGCTTGGAGCCTGGGGCCTGCTTCGGATTCTGTGTCTCCCTCTCTCTGCCCCTCCCATGCTCATGCTCTGTCTCTCTCTCCCTCTCTCTCTCAAAAATAAATAAAAAACAAAAATAAAAAAACAGTATTTTTCTAGTATATAGTTTATGTTCAAATAGCTACCAAGTTAGTAGGACATAAACACTTACTAGATTGTTTGGCTAGAACGACATAACAAATGCAACTATTAGGTTTCTTTTGGCCTATACTGTGTTGTGAAAAAATTACTGAGAGGCCACGGGTGCTCACGATGAACCAAGAAAGTGCAGGCACCGCTGTACAGGAAAATGACGACATTCTGAACCAGAGAAAGGACAATACTTGACATTATTGTTACAATATAACCTTGCAGTTAGAACGCCATAATTACTAGCCAGATGCATCTGGTTGTGCTGTGAGTAAAGGGGTCACATGTATTCACTCCTTTAAACCCTCCAAAAGACCTCAAACAAAAGGTTGACTTCTCCCATTTACCGAAGAGGAAACTGAGGCCTATAGAGTATACAAGTAATAGCTAAAGGTCACCAAATAGGCTGATGCTGGAGCTGGGATTCAAATCTAGGCATCCTGACTCTCAGACTCAAGGCCCTTAGCCACTTGCTTACCAAGGACGCAGGGATGCAAAGAAGGAGACAGCTGAGCTGTCTGCATGGCACAATCCACAGAATTCAGGGACCGGAGACACTAGATGTTTGGGGATGGCCACCTAGCCCACTTTCTTCTGAAGTGCTCCCACCCACTGCCTACTGACTCAGGGGACTTAGGGAGATGTGTGCATTTGTGGTCCCAACTCTGACCCCTGCCCTTGAACGTATCCACAGGTTACTGGAAACGTGCCAGGTGTCCCAAGCTCCATTAAACGAAGCTTCCTCCAAGAAACCGGAGATGGACGCAGTGAGGGCCTCTCGCTTTTCTATGTCTGTATCAGTCAACTGAAATAGGCGGTTATTGTCACAATAATGACAGGATGCGGGGCACCTGGGTGGCTCAGTCGGTTGGGCGTCTGACTTCGGCTCAGGTCGTGATCTCGTGGTTTGTGGGTTCGAGCCCCACGTCAGGCTCCGTGCTGACAGCTCCGAGCCTGGAGCCTGCTTCGGATTCTGTCTCCCTCTCTCTCTGCCCCTCCCCTGCTCGTGCTCTCTCTTGCTCTCAAAAATAAACAGACATTAAAAAAAATTTTCTAAAGTAAGTAACAGGATGCAAAAAGGAAGGTTTACAACTTCTTGCTTTAGAGGTGGCTAGCTGGGCTTGCTCCCTCCCCACTGCTAAGCTTCCTGAGGTTGACTGGTTCAGTGGTTTTGTAGACTCCATGAGGTCTGTACCCTGCCAATACCTTCTTTCCTTTGAGCCGGATTTGCTAGACTTCTGTTCCTTTTAACCAAAGGACGTTTCCCTGGAATCCCGAACATGGATGTCATAAAATACACTGTTAAAAAAAGGTGTATGTTCAGGGTTGGGTAATACCTCCAATGCTAAATATTTGGCCCCTTAAACTGGGTGGCCACAAGCGTGCTTCAGACTGTAGACTTTGGCCAGGCCACGTCCTCTTAGAAACCAGGCAGGCCTGCGGGGTTCACAAAAACAAACAGTTCAGAGAGGCGGCTTTCTGCATGGTCAGAGGGCTCAAGAATCTACCAGGCGATTACACTGCTGTCAGATTGTAAATACATGTTCGCAAATGCCTCTGTAATTGTTCGGCAACAGTGTGGGCCTGTTCACCCAGGGCCAGCTACTGCATGTTAATGGGGAGGCTTACCCAGCATCTGCTTTCAAGGTTGGAGCCAGATCTCTGCCATTTCAATGTTTCTGGGGATGCGGCACCAGATCGGGTATCTTTCCTCTGCCAGCTTGCAGACAAGAAGAACTCCGAGGCGATGGGCAGTTGTGTGGCTGATTGGTGGCTTTGGCGTGGGCATTCTGTTTTCAGCTATCCCAGAGTCTTCCTACAACTGGTGTGGTTTCCTATACCTCCGGCGACTGCTAGTAAGACGGGAAACTGCCATCACGAACTTGAGGTCATTTTGCTTTGCACACTGGTGTCCTTGGCCTTGTGCAGGACGGTTACCATGATTAAAGAGATTTCCTGCTGACTCCGAAGCATGAGGTCTGGAGATGCCCATGTAAGAAGTGGTACATCTCAAGGCATGCAATTCAGGACATTTGTCTTTTTGACTTTTGATTTGGGGCTAGTGCTCAAGACCAGTGTTTTTCTGCTTTCATCATCTTAAGACAAGAGAACATTCTCTCTCTCGATTGGTGGGCATAGGGGCCTCAAATTCCTTCTTTTCAGTTGCTCTGGATAATGAGTGCCAAACCAGGCAATACCCCCGGGGCATCTTGTGCATGTCACAGAACCCATAGGTTCAACGTCAGTTCGTCGCAACTTCTAACTGCTGGCAGTCCCTCCAGTTTGGGTGACTATCCAGCTGGCCATTTCCAAGTATTACAGATTACTTAGGGGAATAACTCTGCTCTAACAAAATGACCCCAAATAAGTGGCAGAAAAATGACCTAATGTCACAGTGCAGAGTGACAGGTTGCTTTGCTACAGAGTCATTTAGAGATCCAAACTCCTACCACCTCTGAGGTCTGCCGCCCCCGCCCCCCCAGAATTGTGCTCATTTGTATGGTCAAGGCGGGGTTGCAGATACATCTGTGTTGTGGCTCTCGGAAAGGGGAACGAGAGTCTGAGGAAGCTGGCTTATCTTTTAAAACAGGGATGACCTTAGGGGCACCTGAGTGGCTCAGTCGAGTTAAGCGTCCGACTTCGGCTCAGGTCATGATCTCACGGTTCGTGAGTTCGAGCCCCGCGTCGGCCTCTGTGCTGACAGCTCAGAGCCTGGAGCCTGCTTCGGATTCTGTGTCTCCTTCTCTCTCTGCTCCTTTCCTGCTCACACTCTACATCTCCTTGTCTCTCAAAAATAAATAAAACGTTAAAAAAATTTTTTTTTAATTGGAGATGGCCTGCAAGGTCAACCTTCACTCACATCCTGTTGGCCCAGGTTAAGTTCCGGAGCCACATTTAACTACAAGGGGTCCTGGGTAATGCTGTTTCTTCCTGGGAAGCTCAGAGCTCAGCTTCAACTCTGCTGCCAGCGAGGAGAAGGTGACTAGATTCTGACAGGTGGTTTGAAGTTTCTAGTCACATGTAACAACAGACAGAAAGGAATATATTACCTCCTAAGAATAAGATCAATGCCACACGGTCATATAGTCAACAAATATTTATTAAGTACCTACTATATGCCAGATACTTTTTCTTACAAGTATTAAAAAATGTATTATTAACAAACTGTGGGTGAAATTACGCAACACTATAAACACATTTTTCCACTTTTTTTAAAAAAAATTTTTTTAATGTGTATTTATTTTTGAGAGAGAGACAGTGTGTGTGAGCACAAGCTGGGGAGGAGCAGAGAGAGGGAAACAGAATCCAAAGCAGGCTCCAGGCTCTGAGCCGTCGGCACAGAGCCTGACGTGGGGCTCGAACTCACAGACCACGAGATCATGACCTGAGCTGAAGTTGGATGCTTCACCGACTGAGCCCCCAGGCGCCCCTCACATTTTTCCACTTTTGAAAGACCTTTTGCTCTTTCGGGTAATAGAGGGCAAGTGGGAAAAAGGCAAGGTATCTTTTACCTTCATACTGCGGGAACGATACTCGCGCCCGTCCGTTTCCGACAGCTGGCGTTATTGTTGTCCTTGTGGATAAGCACACACCAAATCCTCTTGGTTATCTGGATGTTCGTCTCACAAATCATAACTTGCTTGTAGCACGTTTATGCCGCTTCAGGAAGACCTCTTCAGAGGATGACATTAGATCGCTGAGATTAAATTCAACGTCGAAGGTGGGTTTTTTCCCCAAAATAATTAAGGCAACGAACAGGGCAAGTTTCGCCGTTACTCCCTTGATCTGGTAGGTGATGTCATCTTCAGGATGTCTGTACTCAAAGCAGTGAACAACAACATCATGGCCAGAAAGTGTCATGTGACTCTGGTGGTAGACCCGCGGATGCAGGAAATATTCCAGAGGCACCAGGAACACCTTCTTCACCTCATCGGGATTGGGCTGGGCCTGGAACTTGTGGTCTATGAATCCTACAACGGGGGTTATCAGCGTATCTCTCTGAAAGCGGAAAACAAAACACACGAATTAAGAAGTGAAATAAATAAACGTTGAAAAAAAAAAGAAAAAAAGTGAAGAGGGAATTGTTTCAGACGCTAAAATCCTGGCACGTCTAGGAAAATAAGAGAACAGTCCAGAGCGGCCAATCACATAAGGTGGGTAGGGACGGAGGGGGGATTTGCTCCAGACATGAACTTTATGCTCCCCGTGAAACGGGGGGACATACGTGGGCAGTATCTGTGAAACGACTCTGAAAATGTTCTTTTGTGAACATACCGGCATCATCTTTGGCAAGGGCAGCCTGGCGACACTATAAAAACGTGGTCCCTTTGACCTCGCAAGCGCATTTGCGCAAACGTATCTGTATGATAAAGTCCTACCAGTGAGTCAAGATGCAAGACCGAGGCATTATCTGCACTAGCCTCAGGCTCTGAAGTTTCCACTCATCCACTGACGGACGGACGTGCAGCATAGGTCAGTTAGGAGGGTATCTGTGTAAGGGGATACTCTCGGCCCTTAAAATGAATGTGATAGACACCACCTGTCCCCATCGGTACAGACAAGGACGTGCCCATCTGATCAATACAAAAGTCCAGTGACATATCAACTGTGGCACAGGCCCAATTATAGGGAATTATACTTATTACATATGAACCAGTTTACATAACATAGATGTCTATGTATGGGAGGGGGGATTTCTATTTATAACCACAACTGCTTGCAAAGGAACGCAAAGTATCGTGAAATGAAAGGCCCCACTGGGAACCTGGAGGGTGAGGCAGCTGCATAAGAAGAGAAGAGCCGCGTACCCTTGAAATGGAAAGCGAGAGAAGTCTAGAGCTCTTGGGGGGCGTCCCGAGAGAAAGCGGCCGGCCGGGAGAAGCCAGGGGTACACTGGGAGACCGACCCAGGATACCAGGATTCACAGGCCTGTGGAAAACTTCGCAGGGGAGCGAGAGCTGAAACATGTTTCAGAGCGGTGATGACTCAGACCATTAACGGAATTCATGGTGAAAGTCAACTGTGCGGGCCAGGAGGGGAAGGTGGCAGCACAGACCTTCACCGTCCTTTGGGAGGAAAATCTGGGGTCAGAAGTGGCCCCAGGGCCGAAGCAGTAACCACCACCTGGCCCCGAGTGGATGCTCAGCCTCTCGGGCCACGGGCCCCCCAGAAGTGCTCTGAGACATGACACGTTCAGATACAAGTGATTTCTGAAGGAGGAGCTCCCAGGAGGTGCGTGAGGCAGGGAGGAACCCGGGCAAGGGCGGCTGCGGCCATTCACGTCGGAGCCGGACTCTGACGACCCTCAGCACGGTCGCCGGCGAAGGGGCTCCTGGCAGCGTGAATTCTCGGGCCCTCCAGGCTCTCTGTGAGCAGGGGAAGGTGGCAAGCTGCGGGTGTGAGCTTTCAGACTACAGTAAGAGGGATAAGAAAGGGTCTGGAAGAACCCGGAGTGTTCGTGCAGGGCGCATCTGTGGTTGCTGTCACCATGCCGTGACCGCAGCCTCAGGGGCCCTGGTCTCGTCTGCAGCACCCTCCCCCTGCTTCTTCACGACAGTCTGACCTTGAGGAAGCTTTAACAATGGAAATCAGAGACCTGAGGAAACCTGCTCAAGGTCAAAGCCGGCTAATACTTGGCAGGAACCAGGATTCACCTGGCCTGCTGCCCACGCTGTAGAGCAGAGCACTTATGTTCGGTGAAGACACAGATGTTAACCTATCTCCGAGTGGCACACCAGCCTTGCACGTGGCTTACACACGCTCTGGAGAGTTCTCAGCTGCAGCTCGGACTTAAGCTCTTGCTGAGGGCTGAGGTAGGGACAAAAATGCATCCTTACTCTAAGGGCCAAACCGTTACAGGCACGGGTGTGAACGAGCAACTTAGCGAGGCCAGTGCTGGCCCCTGGACCAGCGTGTCCAAGCGTGAGGAAATTGGTGGGGAAAAATATCAAAGCCACGAAGGGAGATAACGGTTTGAGACTGAATGATTCAGAAGGGAAGTCAGGCACGTTCAATGTGGTTCAAGTTTAGAAAAGTGAGAGACTTTGGAAATCAGTAAATGAACAAGCATCTTTGGACACCCAGTTCCTAGACACGGGTGTCCATCTTGGAAGGAAGAAAGATGGCGGGTGCATGGCGGACGTTCTAGGACCAAGAAAAGACTGAATTTCGGCCACCTGCTGGGCTGGAATCCCGTGGAGACTGGCTTAGGCTGTGGGAAAGGGGAAAGGCATGCTTCTGGGTCTCTGGAGGAAACCACATGCTGTTTTTTTTCAATGTTTATTTATTTAAAAAAATTTTTTTTAATGTTTTTATTTATTTTTCAGACAGAGAGAGACAGAGCATGAGCAGGGGAGGGGCAGAGACAGAGGGAGACACAGAATCTGAAGCAGGCTCCAGGCTCTGAGCTGTCACCACAGAG